AAAACAAGCCACACCCTTTGTTGGCACTTGGTTGTGTTGTTCTAAGTATTTGAAAACAACACATGGCATTTTCTTAATTACTCCAAGACAAACAATTTTTATTAACACAAGTTGCCTTTACTCATATAGTCCAATTTATTGAGGTTTTATCCTATATGTGTTTAATTCCATAAGCGTGACTCAGAGTTGGAAGGTCCAGTGCCCTGCCTCTTGGCAGGGACAATACAATTACATTCAGAAGTGAGCTGGTAAATGTTTAACAATCTGCTCTCTGAAAAACATGTATGTGTGCACGCATGAGTTTATTTTAATTTTTGCAGATTTAAAAGATGCATAGCACATAATTTATACGTAATTGTAAATTACACACTACTCCTTATTAAATTCCATACAGCTAGTTGATTCTCACAGAATGCTGTCATTATTTTTGCCAAATGCTTGCAGCCATAGCCAACCTGTGTCTGCAAATTCAGCCATGATTTGACAAGACTGTAAATAAATGCTTGATTATTGCCTAATTCAGCAAAGAAGTTACCCATGTCACTGGTAAATGAATGTAGTTCCTACATGACTATTAGTTGACATTTTTGTTTATGTTAGTAAGACAAAAGTGTCCCCTTTAACAGCACAAGGGGAAAAAAGAAAAGAAAAATAACTATTTTAAATAAAAAAAAAGACAAAAGTGAAACAGTAAAGATGTATGCCATAACCTCATTCATCTGTCAATGACATGAGTGACCTCTTTGCTGAATCATGTAATAGTTTGGAACTATTGGGAGGATATTTCCTCAAAAATTTTTACTATTCACAATGTAATAGCTACAGGCATGACATACTTCTAAGTTTAATCGGCATTATTAACATTTTCTCTATAACTTTATTAAGTTTATTTAGTTAGACAAACAACAAAATAAATCAGGCCTTGATTTTTATGATTTGCCAATTTTCCTGGTATAAATACTCCTACCAATGGAAAGTGTGAAGCTACCAGAATGTGGATTGGGAGAGATGGTCACGAGCATACCATCATATAATATTTCTACCATAGAGATACAATCAGTAATTCGCAAATCTCCAGAATATTTAAGAATCAGCTCTCTGGAGTCAGCATGAGTTGATGACAGCATATACTGATTATAACTCATTTATCTAGAACTGTCTCTTGCAGTTCTATGAGAATGAGAATGTCATCTATAGAAACTTATTTTTAAAACAAAAAATGAACAGACCTCAAATATCATTCTGTAAAATTAGTGATGAATAAATTTGCTTGTCATCTAAATGTACAATCATAACAAAATGACCATGTTCTCAAAAATTAGCTGTAAAAGTCATCCAAAACACGCTCATTCTCAAAGGTCTAGGACCAATGATTAGAGTCTCAGCAGTAAAATAGCTCTTGGAGCATTTTCTCTCTTGTGTCCAAACTAACATAAAACGTAGAAAACGGAATCATGAATACCAGAGTAGGGAGGTGCCTTAGAAATTAGCTAGTCTAATCTTCTCTCATTCCACAAATGAGTTGACTGAAGTCCAAAGAGGTTAATTTACCTATTATAGAGAAGCAATGCTATTACCAAAAGCTAAGTTTTCATTTGCAAAATAGTTTCTTAGTGCTAATTTTGTCCCCAGTGTGCTAAGGCGAGATAACTGTGGTAAGTGTATTTAACTTGCTCTCACTTTGGGGATAAATGGGTCCCTTTGGCAACACTATTTTTGGGAGAGCAGTGTTAAGCTGTGGAAAAGAAACTTTCAGTTATGCTTACATGCTGACATCACTAGGGTGTTTTGATTTTGTTTCTTTGTATCATACTGTTTACCATACCATAGTTCTTTTAAAGCACAGATTTGCCCTTTCCAAGAGTAATCATTTATAAGTTAATAGCAAGTAAACTGGGCAAGTCTTGTGTAAACCAGCCAACCCTCAAGCAAATTTCAGAGTTAAGAACATATTTTACACCTTGATCTGAGAGTGAAAAAAATCTCAGGTTCTTGTGAACTACTGGAGGCAGAAAATTCCTTTGGAAAATGGGCTGTTGGCCAATCTCAGTGGGCTGCTGAAAATTTCATTTTTAAGAGTTTCTTTCTTCTCTGGAAATGATGTCTGCAATACCATGTTTTCTTTCTCCTCCTCCTCTTCCTCCTCCTCCTCCTTTCTCTTTTCTTAAAATATTAATAATGTAAGCCTACAATAGTCTCTTATCTGAAAGCCGTAAGGCCAGATATGTGTAGATTCAGAATTTTTCAGATCTTAGAAAGGTAACACATGGCATATAGTATATATTCTGAATCGTCCCCAGTGTGGTCTGGGGCGACACTCCATAATCAAGCACATTTATATTTTACAGCAAAATAAATATTCATATGATGTGGGATAAACAGGACTATACATAGCCACATGTCAGTTCATTTCCAGTAAATTTTACCACCAAGAATTATTTTTAAAACTAGCTTTTCAGGGCTTTTTAGATTCAACAATTCTGGAAAAGGGAGTATAGGCCTATAATGACATCATCAGCATTCTCTTCTTCTCTTGATGTGTTAAAAAAAAATGTGTGTGTATAATGTTTTCTTGAGCCATGTTCAACTTTAATTTTATTGTTATTTGTTGGACGCTACTCATTCTTGTTATAATAACCTCAGAGAGGCATTAGCTATGTTTTGTTCTGGTCTTGCTTTAATTCCAGGCTTTTGCAATGGACAAATTTGATTTTTAAGGGATGAGGGAGGAATAAATTGCTTTAGGGTTCTAACATTCTGATGTCTTCTTTAGGCCACCAATGAACTTGGTAACTACTTGTTTATTTGTTTACGACCAGTCTTCTAATCTACTTGCACAATGCAATGCAGCTTTGCAATTTATTTTTTGAGGCTACTAAAGGTTCCTACACCTGCAAAATTATATTAAGCTACAAGAAACAAGAACAGGAGTTGCATATAAAGAGACAACAGAGAAGAAAACCAAGCTCAACTTTGTCCTTATAGAGAAGTCTTGATTAGTCTGATTAATGCTGTACTAGATGCCAAGGAAAAATACTACTTTGTCTTCTTCAATCCCTCATAGCCTCAAAGAGACTAGCCTTCCACAAATCAAGACTTGAAAAGTTATCCAAGATTCTCTCCCACATTAAAGAATAAAAAGATGGTAGCTGGAAAACTAGGTAGCAGGGAACAGGATCTGCCTGGTATAGGAGAGGATGTGTTAATATAAATAACATATACAGAACTTGAATTGTAGAAGGTGGCAAATAGAGGGAATACCCAAAGACGTCAAAAGGGTGAAAAAACATAAAGGTAAGAAAGAAGCAGATAAGTACAGTTTTTAAATTGTAACTTGTTGCCTAGTGCAATGATGAAAGCTACCCACTAATATAGCTATTTTAGAACGTTAAATTTCACATGCAGTGCTACTAAAATACCAAAGGCCATACATAATGTCTGACCCAAGCTGCCAGCCACCTCATATAGCAAATTCTTACTTGGGAGCTTAAAAAAGGTTGTTTGACTGGTCCACTGTCCTGCAGCGTCAGGAGACTGCTTTGTCTGACATATTGAATTTCCAATGTCTCTCACACTTCCTCCTTTTCAGATGCACAAAAGGTTTTTGTAAAGTTTTTCTTGGTTTTATTGCTGGCAGCTACAGAAACCATGCCACATGCCTGGTGTAGAGTTATAGGGTGTGATTTTATTTGGGAGTGTCTTCAGAGCTTCTGGATTTTTAAATATAACTATGAGAATTTCCTTAAGAGCTGTAAATAAAAATCTGTACGAACTCTTTACTGGACCAGTTATGTATGAGACTGGCCGGTTGTTGCACGTTCTCTCTGAAATCATAATGAAAAAGCTCCTCCTCCTCACATACTGCCTCGGTTTCCTACAGGAATACCACTTCAGTGTGTTTAGTAACCTTAGGTTGGGCCGTGGCCTAGTACCCTAAAACTATTTCCAACTAACTGAGAATAGCTCTAACTGTACAAATTTAGGAAACACGACTGGCATTTACGAGGGGGTCCGTAAGCACTCTGAAGTGCTCCGACTTTTAAGTCAAGGGACATGGGTTTGAATCCGCATTCGGCCATTGACCTTGTGCTCCTGGGCAAATTGTCTTCTATATAAAATAAGTACCCACCTCTTTCTCTGCCTCCTAAGGTTGTGAGGATTAAATGACTATACGTAAAGCAGACAGACTCTCACTATAAGGTCACTTCTTGTAATCGTGACAGAATCCCGGGAGTCCCAGGAGGGTGCAAGGGACTCGCCGCGGGGTGTGTCCCCGGGCGGAGTGCATCCTCCTGTAGGGGGCGCGCTCCTCACGCTGTTTCCTCGCGGGCCCGGCCTGGCCTGCGGTTTAGGTGGGGAACCCAGAGGGTTCCACGCCAGGGGTGAGGTTGGCACGCACAGGGCTGGACTCTGGCTCGGGCCGAAGTGTCCGAGCGCACCCTGCACGTGGCCTCGCAGACACCGGGCCTCGGGCCGGCCAGGGGAGGGTCGGTGCGCGGCCGGCCGGCCGGCCCGGGGGGCGCGCCCTCGAATCCCAGCGCGCCGCGCGGGGCCCCGAACGCCGAGACAATGCGGCGCGCGGCGGCCAGGAGCGGCTCGGGGGCCGGAGCGCGCGCCGCCCTCCTTCCTGCAGGCTCCGCTTCCCGGCGGCGCGGCGGCGGCGAGCGCGCCCATT